CCCGTTATGTTACTTCGAGCCCAAGCCCACTGTTATAAATCTTGGACCCCCATACCCGGATTAAATCATAAACAACTATTTCTCAGTTTTATTATTTAAGTACAGCTGCAATAAAAAGTCTGGACTAAAGTATTGGGGACCTTCCCAAACATTCCACAAGAAAGGTTCCGATGTCCTTTCATCTCCGACATATATATATATATATATATGACTTCGGTCAGCTGATTGCGATCTTCTGATTGGTCACGTTTAAATATCAACACTTTATAAACACCGTACAATGAGGCACCGCTGTTAAAACCGGTTCTCTGTAAATTAATTTTTATAATTATTGTTCGCATAATTTTTTATAGTTATTCAAATAATTATAAAGATGATGGAGATAGAAGAATCAACTAAAGAAGATACTGTCGAGGTTATTAGGGAAAGTGTGAGAGAATTGGTTCACACGGAAAGGGAGAAAAATCGTACGGAAACATGGAACAAAAATCGTGTGGCTTTAGGAAACCGTATGACAAATTCGTCATTTACAACAGAGTTCGTCGTTGAAAAGGCAAAAGCTCTTAAAAAGAGAACATTATCTATCGAAGAGTATGGTCAACTGCAAAACGCTCTCATTCAGGTTATAATATAAAGATACATATATATCAAATGCATTGTAGTTAATAAGTATATTAACATGACTTTTCATTCTTTGTTAGAGCGAGGACAATGTTAATTCTTTTTTAAAAGTGAACAATATCTTATTTGCCTTGGTACGTGATTTATCTAGTAATAATAATGCATTGCAGTTATGTGCTGCTAGCTGTTCTTGTAATATAGCACTTGGAAATAGTAAGGCATGTGCTGCATTAACTAAAAGCATTGGACCATATCTTGTTACAGAATTAGATACCTTAAACTATCCTCTATTGGTAAGTTATAAAATGATCATAATGCTATCACATATACTAATAAAGTTAATGACATGTTTTCTCATTAGGAAGTTTGTATATGGACGATGGGAAATCTGATTTCGGGAAGCAGTAAAGCATTTGAAATTTTCCATGCCCAAGATTGCTTAAAATATATTATATCCCTGATGCATAACTGTGATAATATGATCGTGCCTTCAGTAGCCTATACAGCCATGCATTATGTGCATATTGGTTCTAAATACATCCAGTAACAACTATCCTTCTTACTTAATTATTTTAAAACTCTTTAAAAATATTTCACTAATTGTACAAATGCTTTTAGAGATAATGAGATGATTGAACTTGCTAATGCTACTATAAGAAGAACTCTTTCATTCGAAGATCCATACCTTATTTGGTTGCTAGCATTATTATCTTCGCAACAATCTTGTAACTCCTCTTTATATGATGTAGTACCTTTGATAGTGGATTATTTGTATAAAAATAATACAAACAACTTTCTATTTGTGAGCACACGACTCCATTAATATTAACATATATTTATACTTGACTTATGATATTAAAGTTCTTCTTTATTTTAGATTACAGCATGTATAAGAATATTGGCCAATACTGTGCAAGAGACGTCGGGGCAATTAGCAAAATTGCTATTAGAAAATCCAAAATATTCCCAATCAGATTTAGAGATATTGATCAATAGATTGCTTTCATGCCAATATATACATATCAGAAAAGAAACATTATGGTTAATAGGTAATGAGAAATACTTTATTGTTACATTATAAAGATAGTAATTTTGTAAATACAGACAAAAATAAATACTTTTTACAGGTAATCTTTATAACCACAATTCTGTTGACATTAAGGAAATGATACAAAACATCGTTCCTCGGTTGTCATTTTTGAAACAAGCAATTTTATCTACAACTCAGCAGGATCAATAGGTACTGATTCAACTAATCGAGCCGGAATCGCGTAAGCTTTATAATTATTATATTTACATATGTATAATATTTATACAACAGTAAATCTTCCTTCCCAATTGCACACTTTATATTAGCGACGGTATAAAAATATGAAAATTGTTGATAACACTTTGCAATGCTGCATTCGTTTTAATAACTCATTTGAACAGGAATAAATCGTCGTCCTATTCTTATCGATGTATGTTTCTCCAAAGTATCCTCCGATACATCCTCGATGCAAGGTACTTTTATTACATTAAAGTATATACGACCCATTACTTGCGCTGTCGGATTCGTTGTAGCTTTCAAACAATGATACAGCGCCTCATCGCACACACAGTGCGATCTACAAAGGTAAGAACAAAATTCACGTCAAGCACCAATAATCATAAACAGTTCTACGAATTATAACGATTAGTATACGATTATTATTACACAAAACAATTATACGAATACATAAATGAAAACTTATAATATTTTCTTACTTGGTATATATAGAATAATTGGTGAGATTGTATCGCGTTTGTTGTGCTCGGATTTTTACAGGGCAAAGATCATGACTGCGACAACATCTAGAAAAATAAGATATGTTAAAATCTTTGTCGTTTAATCAACCGTAATCTTTTCGTAGCTCTGATAACCATAATATATTCGCACTGACCTATCAATTTGAGCTTCATGACCTAAATCGTGGTAGTTCTCAGCGATGTCTCCGGTGCCGCACCATTTTGTACCTACCAACGACACGACGACACCGTTGAAGTTTACCTCAGCAGATGTGAATTACAAATACCATACAAAATAACTAGTAATTATAAAAATTTACCTGGCAAGATGCCTGAGAGAAGAGACAACACGCTACCCACACCATGACTACCTTTGTTCTCAGTGTGGGACATCTCAGTGGATAACGTATCGTGCTGGATTTTGTCCAATAACTCGCACTGTTGCATGAGCTTCGTCATTTGTTCGAAGGATACCAGCTGTGGGACTGCAGTCGACGACAGATTTCTCAAAACTTCATTAGCCTCTTCTTGCTCGCTAAAGATACCGATCTAATTTCTTATTCGTGCATAGACATTGCTCTAAAACTAATTGAAGACACTTACTATACTTCGATCAGATTGCAATTATGTAGTTCGTTGTTTGTACCGAGATCGACCACCGCCACAGTTTGTTCATAGTAATAAACGGCTCTAATCTCGTTTCTGATGTACGCGTTAGTCCTCGGAACAATACCATTCAGTCCTTTGAAAGGATTTTTGAAGAATATCGGCTGCTGAACACTGTTAGAGCTGATGGTCACAACCAAGAAGAATATCCAACTCGTGGAGATCATGTCTATCCTTTAATCCGTGCTGCACTAAGAATATTAATCTTTCCGCATGATCTTTTTAATCATATCCTCGGGATTTTCATGCCGGAAACTATCATTATCCATGTGACAAACGGAGGACAGAAAAATTGCAAAATCGGTGCAGGGGAAATACGCATTGCATCGTCAATTCGCTCGAAGTGTACCTCGCTTATAAATGGAATCGATCCTCGTCGCCTTGAATTCTGAATAAGAAATGTTTCTGTTTTTGTTGTTAGTTTTAATTTATTCAAACGATTATTTTAATCGTGGTCACCTTCGAGGATTTCCCTTTCTAATCACGGCTGCTGCAAAACAGTACCAATTATTATTAGAGGACTAGCATTAATGTTTCTTCACCCCATTATTAGAAACAGATATGGAAATACCTATGATCATTTGCTTTATCGTTTCGCGGAAACGTTTCATTGTCAAAGCGTCAAAGGTATTTCAACGGAAAAAGTATAGGGAAAAGAAACATTCGAGTAAACTAACTAAAGACACTGAACTCATCAAAGAAAAGGGGGCAAACCTATTAAATATTACGTGGCAGTCTACTATGAAAACTCAATACCAAGAATTACATAACTTCTAGACAAAGTTTAGCATGGGAAAGAATAAAAGCGAATATTAAACTAGTTTCAAAGCATATATATCTCCTAATTGCATAACTTAAAATTCGGCAAGATTTTTCGTACACACATTTGCTTACATATTACGGTGACATATTATATATTCCTTTAATTATATACTTTCTATTACAATGCTACAATACGTATTTTACCTGCTTTCTAAAATCTAAAAGTTGTCAACCCTAAAGTGACCATACCTGACCGGTCTTTTCCATCCTTTTCATTCTTGAGGTATCAATTGCATGGTGGTTACACTCAACGAGAAGCACACTATAAGTTTGAATTTTCCACACACAACTATGAAGACATAAGATCCAGATATATATATATATAAAGATTCAATGCGCCGTCGCTCTGAACTATGCGTTTAACATATCTATAATGCACGCAGGTAGAATCTGGAAGTTGAGCGTTGTCGCCGGTGGAATCGGGATTCGTGTAGAACTCGATAAGTTTCTGAAAATCTCCTGAACGGCCCCAAGCTGAGCTGGTGGGACGGCGTGTGGTGAGTATCGCGCCCTCCCCACCTCGACTTATCGATCTAGAGAATTCGCAGGTATATACCTGCTGAGGCCCCTCCATTCTCATTCTTTTATCAACACGAACTGTATAAAGTACTCACTAACTGACCGATGAACAACGATATATCTGAATCGCACCTGGGGGGAACCCAGATTCGAAAAGACTAGGGCGAAGAAAGTGGGACGAAGAGTAGAGAATCGTCTGACTACTAAACATGGCTAATTTCAACGGAATGTCTCCGTGGATCTCGAAAATCTCTATGTAATTTCTATTCGAACATTGAAACAAATTGAAGGCCACATGTAAAACACATGATAAGTCACATTTGTCGTATACGTTGTCAAACATCAAAACTGTCTTCGCATTTGATTTTTAAAATGTGGTTTTATTATTCTCTCGGACATTTAAAAGGTATTAATAAGATTAGTCATATATAGACTAATGTTAATTAAGTTAAACTAACATAACAACTAAATTAATATTATTCTTTATAAAATATTGTAGACTTATCACGTATTTCCAAAAGGTTTATATCGTCGAATTTAATTGTAAGATAAACAAAAATGGACTTATCATATTTTTCCCGTGTGATCCTCAATTAGAAAGTTGCTATTTTTCTAATGGATTTATTATCTTCAATTTAAATGATTCCACGAGAGTAATTATACGTCGATTAAAAGTTATAAAAACATCGTTAAAAATACATGTAAAAAAGATAGAAAAGAATGTTCATTGGTACGTTAGTTTCTTTGTTTCATTTAAGAATTGAAAGCGAGCTTGGAAACTCTGTAGCTGACCGTAGCACACCTATAAATATCGATAAACGTGCAATTTACGAGAGCTTAAGGTCAATGTATGGACAGAATCGATACATTGATATGCGGTAATTTCTCGTTAAGATTGACTCGATTTCAAGGGCTGCTGCTCGTGAGCGGACGCGTTCGTCTTGGAAGCCGCGTTCACCGGGTACTGGTTTCCAATCCGGGTAGTGCTCAGCGTGATACTAATAGGAGTAGCGTTCGAAAGTTGCTGCCGAACCGGACATTGTCGGTAGCCTGGAATTGGAAATGTATGAATACATTGAACAGATATATGATCAGCAGTGTAATGTTAATGAACTCATTAACTACTCGACGATCTGAATTGCATATTTTATATCTATTGTCAAAGTTAATAACAAATAACGCCAATATATACATGAAGCAGGGTATTGAACAGTAAATTAAGAAACGTTACGACAAAGACAAAAAAAGAAGGAAATGTACGCACATATGCACATCTTAGACTTCGACCAGGCGTAATTTTCCCGTCTAATGCTTACAATAAGGATGTTTATGCATTTATGAAAAGTTCAAAAGTGTCAAAATTTATGCAATATGTAAAAATATACAAAATATTCAAGATACTCGTTATCATGCTTAGAATCTTACATTCCTTTTTTCTAAATTCTACTTAGAATTCTCCATTTTATCCAATTATATTCAGAAAAATATTAAATTGTATAAACATCCACAGGCTATTTTTATGTCTCTCAAGATTATTTTTTGAAAGGTAGGAAATGTGTTTTTCATCTGTAGCCTTCATATATCAGTTCCTAATATTTATTGGATGAAGCGATCATCGAGTAGCCTCGTTTAACGCACAAGGAAATATGTCTACCGGCATGATGAGGGCCGGAACAATGACAGCAGATAGGATTGTTTCGAGGCCTGGGGCAAAACTCAACGCTGTGAGGCTCTCCGCATCGAACGCAACGTGGCAGATGTCTACAGTTGGCAGCCATGTGCCAGAAACCCTGGCACCGATAACACTGAAGAACACCATCTCCCGTTTGGAAGTTGGATGTCTCAAGAAAGTTGCTGACTATTCCCGGTCCTGCCTGCAGCGGTCCACCAGCATTTCCGGTTCCTCCGCGCCACCAACGTTCTGGAATGGCACTGAATCGAGCCGCACCGAAGAAGTCCAGTCCTTGACGCAACAATAGCTCGTAATGCCCGGCGTCCAGCACCTGAGAAGAATATTTTAATCAGTTCCGATTTTATCTTGCTAATGACTAGACGACACAACTTCCTGGCTGTCTCTCTTAGATATTTATGAAAGGAATCGTTGAGGTATTACTTCTCTGTGATTTATTTATTGCAATAAACAAAATTATATATATGTATATATACTTTATATGTGAAGTTATATAATGTTGTCTATAAAAATCTATATTTTCTCATTAAATATCTATTCGATGATCGTTTCAATTATTGCAATAAATAGCTTTAAAATATAATCAAAATTGCTTTAAGATATTTATACTGAAAGTTATTTAATGATCATTTTACAGATCATCGTGGTATCGAACTAACATCTAATGTTTAAATTAACCGAATTATCGTAGGACGTGGCTGATTAAGATTACGGGGCTTTTAACGAAAATCTATGTATTTTCTCTTCCTTTTTCGTGTCAGCATTTCGCCAGCGAGGTAATTACCTCGACACGTATATATTGTCGCCAACGTTCAACGCTTCCTGTCGTGATTCCCTGTTTCGTCAGCGCGGAGTTAATATCTTGCAGTGGAATGGCCCAGGGTACATCACGAAGAAGAACCGCCTGTCTATAACGAGAGTCCTTTGCTGAGAATCGAGCCACCTGATTGAAAAAAAAAACATTATAATTAATTGAAAAGAATGCAAAAGACAGGAATGAAAGAGGAGAAAGGAATAAATATGCAAATAAAATATTCATAACATCGCCTAAGCGATCAGAGATTTAGTGAGACAAGCCTACGTTGTGCAAGCTCGGTTATCTCATTTTCTTGCATAAGAGAAAGCGAAGAGGAAAGCGGCCGATTACAACGCGAAGTAACATTTATATGGTAATTTCATACGCAATTTACTGTTGAATTTGTACATTTGCATAGTTACTCTGCAGTACGGAGAGAAAAATGTGATATCAAAATTTTATACTTGGATAATTATTAAGAAAATTAGAAGAATTACAAGCTTACGTATCGTATATGTACATATTTCTTTATATCTTTAAATATAACACGTTCGCTTCACGTTAAATTCAATAAAAGGGCACATAGTTTCACGATATATACACGATATATATTTGATTAAATTTTCATCAATTATGTAAACAATATAGAAATAAAATATGACGATGCACAATGTATAGCAATTATTTATACATTATATATATTTATGCGAATTTGTAAAGAAGAACGTTATAACCTGGTCATTTCTTTATATTTTTGTATACTACTATCTGTATTCTGTACATTTCATTAAATTTTCTATAAACGTATAAACGAATTCATAATCTATTTATAAGTAATAGAATAATAAATTCGAGCAGTAATGAACACGTTAACTATACTGTTGCATTACCCATCGATTTTTGTTAACATAGAGTAGAATATCGCTAACTAGGAACATATTTACATCTACTGCATCTATTGTATCTACTTGTACGGGTCCTTCGAAAATACGCGCCAAATCGCCACGCTGCAACAGTTTCTCTGCGTCAGCTTCGCGTGTGAACGCCGCAATCAGGCCACACGGTGTTTCAGACACGTGCCAGGCTGCCAATGGATCGGACGCGCGGATCACATCTTCTAGATTGGAACGTAGCAGCTCGCCACCTGGCATAACTTATTCGTCAACTCTAACAAGATCTAAACATCTGCCGTCAAGGGGGACTAATATCGTAAAACTATTTCTTTGTTGCAGCATGCTTTAAGAAGCATTTCTCAAACACGAGGTAGAACTGACACACTCTGACGTAACAGTATACCGATTGCATATTTTCAGTTGTCGTATCGAAGAAAAAAAAACATACAATGCCTGCAAAAAGTATTTGCACGTATTCTTATTTACCAATAAATATCATTTTTACAGTATTAAATTTTTGCAGGTATATGACAGTACAATCAAACGATATGAAATTTAATTATTTAGATATAATTAATTAGTATATGTGCAGGCAAAGTTGTAGACATCTTTTATAAATATATAATGCGTGTTATGTGAAACATTTTAAAAATTCACTATATTGGTCAAGTTTGAAATAAATGTGAAAATGTATATAAAAATTACAAGATATTTAGTCTAAGCATTTATTTTACAGGGACCACAAAAGTATTTAAACGATTCGTTATATTAATAAATCTCGACCATTTTTAACATTTATTATATACTTAATATATTTATTGCAAATATCTTGTAAGTTTTAGGTACATTTTCAGATTGGTCTGAAATTTGACCAATATAATCATGATAGTCTCGTTGCAGTGCTAATAAAATTTCAAAATGTATAACACATACAATATGAACATAGAATGCTTAAATACTTTGGTAAGCCAAAGTAAATTCTGTAGTAAATATAATGGCGTCTAAATACTTCTTGCAACTACTGTGCAAATTTTAGGCACATTGTATATTATAAATGTACGTGTGGCCACTTATGCAAGCGGAGGATACGCTAAATAAAGAAGTAGGCAATTTGCCACCTGGTATTCCTTGTACTTGACCTTGAGGTCCGACGGCACGCGAGATATACAGAGAACACGTGAACTCTTCTTGACAGGAAACACGTGCTCCATTGTCGCAAACGTTATCCGTTGAGGTATTCGGTCCCGTGACCGTAGTCTGCATCATTGTCTCGTCTCTTCTATTCTCCTGGGGGCATTCCTCTTCCATTCTGTGCACTTTGTGCACTATCGAAAATACCTCTAAAAATAAAATCAATATAGGTCTCTGTCTCTCAATAGTTAATACATAATTGGACTGCAAATGTTTATGCAATTTTATATTTTTGTGAGTTTAACTAATGGAATATAACCTATACAAAAATTTGTTCCAGTCACTAAATATTATAATGAGAAATTTATTTTGAATATTTTATATATTTTTACATGTTATATACATTTTTACACTTCTAAATTTTCCATAAATGTATAAACATCCGATATCTACTAATAACAAATAGTGTTCGACCATTCGCGGAGAGACGCGATCGCGAGGAAAAGCGCCAACGAGAGTCGTAAATTCCCGTTACAGTTACATAATCGATACCACGAAATGATCGATCCCCTATTTCGTTTAGAATAATAGAGGTGGTTGAACTGATTATAACACTGAAGTAACAGGTTACAATATACATTTTATTCCAACAATTTTGTAGACTGTTGCGTATAGATATAAATTAAACAAATGACTAAGGCAACAAGTTAACAAAAAGTTAAACAAATGACTAAGGCAACAAATTAACAATAAGTTAAACAAATGACAAATGGTCTAAGGCTAAAAAACTAGTCAAGAGATATTGACTGAAGTTCGGTGACAATGCTGTCGCAAAGGAAAATTATTGCTGGGTATTGGTCGCCCCAATACCGGTCACTTACAGATGAAAATGACCATTGAACACGAGGAGACCTGACCGACCCTTTTTCTACCTGATGGAACAATAATCGTAAGGAACGTCTCGACCTGAATGTATCTTATAACAATGGGGGACCCTAACGGAAAAAAATGGCCAGTTTTATGACGGTTTCTTAGGATTACTGCGCTGCGACTATTATATTTGCACTGCTAGTAGCCGCCTCGACCGAAGGATGGATTCTGGTTTACGTGGAGTCACATTCGAAGATGGTATCCCACTGGGGGTAGCCATCCACATGTTATATTACTATATCACTAAGCTATAACATTTTACCAAATGTCCTACTGGACAAATTGTAAAATGTAAATAAATAAATTAAAAAAAAAAAAAAGAAACGTAGAGTCACCGGACGTAACAAATAGAATTTTTATTTATTATTTCAATAAAACGTTTTAAAATTTGTATCGTATCCCTTATTAAAAATATTCTCTTCTATAAAAGTTTGCTTTTTAAAAACGTAGTTTGAAACGCGTGTCTTGAAAAGATGGTTGCTCATACTATTTACTATAATTTGAAGATACATAAATGTACAAAATGTACATAATACGCAAAAATGTAAAAAGTGAAATGTAAAAAATATTCAAAGCGAGGCATTATAACATTTAATGGGACAAAGAAGTTCTCATGTAGGTTCCACTTCTTTAGTTATGTTGAAATATAAAATTGCATAAAAATTAGGAGTCTATTAATTATATATGCTAATTATACTGATCAAATTTGATATCAATCTGAAAATGTATATAGAAATCTCATTATATACAATGCCAATGAAATTTCAAAATGTTCCGTACAACACGAATGATATATTCACGAAATATTTCTGCAAGTGTCCGAATGTTTTCGTGAACCGTATATCGCAGTGTTTTGACGAATATAAATTTCTTTTCAAGGCATACGAACTTTTCGAGATACATATGCACATACATGGTACAATAAATGAATACACGTGCATATACATATGTGTATAAATGCACACGCATAGAATTAGTACGGAACGTGTGCACAATAGCCACGTGTATAGAAACGACTTTACCGGCAGATTTGCGCGCGATTGCCAACTAATAGGAGCAACATGTTAATTGTTGGTAATGAAATCACTCGTACAAGCATTCGATGGAATGCAAGGTTATAATTACGTATTTCGTAATACGCGCGCGCGCGTCTAAATATACAAATGCACAAAATTGTAAAAAACAATTCAATGTTGAGTAAAGGTTCCGATTTGTTTGGTTATTCGCTATAACTCGAAATATTCGTCGAATGCGAGATATCCGATTTTTAATGCAATTAAAAGCATACGATTTGACATTGAAGCTTTCACAATCGGTGGCAGTACGCGTGCCAATTTCCTTTCACTTGCTCGTTTAACCGATTACCGTTTTTTAGCCACTTTGCACCGTGCCAAAGATTACGACGACGTTGAATCACCTTAGACGTTTATCTTGCAGCTCGTATTTTTGGAAAAGGAAGTCCGGGCCAAAGAAGACATGGCCCAATGCTGGCGCCATTAATTAGCCTCTTTCACGATCACAACAATATCGACTCTCTTTTTTCTGAACTATATATGTATGTTTACTATCGCTTTTTCATCGACGTTTAATCTTTTCGATCATTCTTCTTCAAAAAGTTAATCCTCCAAAATTCATCGTGTTTTCTTCTCTATTAATGTATACTATCATATATTGCATATATATCCTTATAAAAAAGAAATATCGATTTGTAACATTGATTCAATTCTAATGCGAATATAGCGTAAGGTAGGATTATTTGAGTGCTAGAATTTTTGGTTAAGTTAAGCAATTTGCCTTTTAATTTGCAAAATTCCGTTGCGAACAAATTTTTAAGCGACTTACGTTTGAGAACAGACTACTTAATTTGTTATAAATGGCGTGATAAACGGTGAAATATATTGTACAAATTGACAGCTTGATAGCCATAACTTTCCATGAGGATATTTCCATTACACATTAAAAGGTAACAAGTTCGTACAGTTAATATTAGTATCTCAATTACAATTATTATAATTCAGTAGAATGTGTATACTTAATTTCTGTTATTTTATTTATTTCTTTATCATATTCGAACAATACTAGAATCCTTTTTATGTATGTATATATTATACAAAACATTTTGAAATCTCATTAGCATATCTCATTAGTGATTATATTGGTGAACTTTCGTCGCAAAAATCACCAAAGTATTTAAATAGACAATTATTCACTATATTAATTTCCTGCTATATATAGTAGAACCATCACTTTAGCACTAATTGCATATTTAAGACTACTATTCATAATGTATACTAATTTTTCACTAAGTTTATATTTGTAATAAGTGTCTTACAATCACTTTCATATACATTTTCAGATTGATTTCAAATTATAATACTAACGAAATTTCAAAAAATTCCATATAATCTATATAATATATTCATAAAAAAAATTCCATGACAAGTGTTCGAATACTTTCGTGAGTCTTCTTGTTCTTTCAAATAAGATGCATAAATATCCACAATCTACCTATAATATACAATAAGTTTAATTATTCTATACAAGATACAGTGTCGAATTTTGATATACTGAAATTCAAATAACCCAAACCGAATCAAATAACCCAAACCTTACCCTATACATACGATCGTAGTATGAGCAAATTGGCTCAGAAAATCTTTGCAATTCTTGAGTCGAGCATCTTAACTGATAACGCGCCTGACACAAAAAATAAGCTCGATTGCTATGTAACGGTTTAGGAATTGATCCGTGGAGAATATCGCGAAATCACTGTAAGCAACAAGTATAAAAAGGAAAAAAAAAGGAATTAGCGCGATCTCGTTATCTGGTGCGCGCTAGACACTTACTTTTACCATCGTTTCTAAGTGGGGGTTGTCGCTGGTGGTTGGATGGCGGAGCACCGCGGCAGCATATGCGCACGGAGACGACGTGACAGCAATTATTACGGCTGTGTGCGCGTTCGTGATTATCGAAGGCCTCTAGGAAAATGGCCGAAACACACAATCCACCGGTCTTTTCCCCGAAAACTCTTTACCAATCGAGCGTGTTGGCAATCGCGAATAAATTTCTAAGGCTGAGAAAGTATCTTCCTGATCTACCGAACGATGTCCTGTTTGATGTTTATTATCAGGTAAACGTCAAAACATTTTCTCCATTTAAACGCCTCACAAACCACTGATAAAACGTCCACTTTTTTTCACCAACTTAACCATGAACTTTTTTATTTATCTAACGTTATTTTGTTATTCTATTCGAAAAAAACAATACATTCTGTTTATGATTTTAGTTTTTGATTTAGATATGTAAAACGATGTTACGTGTTCGATTGAGCGATCATAACACTGTTTATTATGACAGCTATATGTAGATGATAAAAATGTATTTTGGCATTGGGTATGACGATAAGGTTTTGTAGAATTAGCTGGGATTTGTGGGGAATGACGGCAAATAAATTACGATGATTTAACAGAAAGGGGGTTACAGAAATTGTACTTGTCATATGTTTAACCTCTACGGCTAATGCTTAGCTTTTATATTTTGCATATATTTACAATGCAACGTAATGATTCCTGGAACAGTAGAACGATTCGTTAAATATGAGATACTCTTTGATTGTATGTGCTTCTACGCTACAGCAAATCAATTTTTTTGCAATCAATTTTTTGCGTTTATTTCGCGTTGGATATCGAATCGCATATGAATCATGCGAAATTGCATTTCTGACAAGTGCGTAAAAGTAAATATATTCATTTGTCCATTTCGTTGTAGAATTTTAAGTTAATAATACAATAGAAATTTTATTCCTATATATTAATCTTGATTAGATATTCATAGTGCGGATCGTCACTATTATTTCATCGCAAAATAGATCTGTTATAAATTTTCTAACATTCATTCATCACCCTTTTTAAGTTAGGAATGAATGCAATTATATGAAAAAAATAATCTATGAGATTTTTTTGCTTTACAGTTGTACAAAGAAAAAAGATTATGTTTACTGGGGTGTGACTTCAACAATCTGGAAATTTTCTCCAAGATGTTAACAGTCACTAGCCGTCGTGTACATTTACTACAGAGCTTTCAGGTAATTTTTTATTCTTATTGAGAAAATGGATTAAAAGTTGTGTGTACGTTTACTTTTCTTTTCCATTAATTTTTCAGAGCCTTATAGATCATAAAATACGAGTTGAAGAAGAGTTGAGTATGAGTTACACAGTATGCTATCTCCATGTTAGTGAAAATCCAGCTGCAGATGAGAAATTAATAAACCTAGGCTTAAGAATTGGTGGATTTTTCAGCGATGGTGGTTGGTATGCTAAAAGTGAACAGGTGTTGCTAGCATGCAAACAATTATGTCTTGCGAATAATTCTACGCCTCAGAATTGGTGTAGAACATTAGAATGTTGTAGAAAGTAAGATATGTTTGGTAACTAAACATTTAATTTATGTTTACATAGATTTATATAAATTTGTAATAAGCATTTAAAAATTTAGATTGTTACATGTACAAGCAGCGTATTGCGAATTTTTACAAGCCGCAAAAACACATCAGCTTGCTATAGAGTTAATAGAACGATTAAAAGAGGCCGGGTATAATGATTACAATTATGCAGCTATATATACTGAGTTTAGTATACTTTTTTATATGAAAAGCGAGTATGATGAGGCCTACAGGTACGTATTGCATTTTTCTTTTATAAACTTCGTCGTGTTTATTACTAATTATACAATTGATGATGATTTAGATGGAGTATAGAAGCACTTGAAGAGTTGAAACCAGCGTTGTCTGCGCGTGTTACTGTTGATGTGTTAAGGCAGGCGGCAAAATCGTGTGTATTAAAACGCGAGTTTCAGAGAGCTGGTCTTTTGATCAGGCAGGCTGTATATCTTGCTAAAGAAGTATTTGGCGTTGATCATCCAGTGTACAGTAACGTCCTTATAGATTATGGATTTTACTGGTTAAACTTTGATAACATAATCAACAGTGTAAACCTTTATAGGGTTCGTACGTTCGTAATGTGAATCGATACGATTCTATATACGATATAACTTTCATCGCGATTTTTTAACATTTTATTTGTTGTAGGACGCTTTAGCTATTAGAACAGAAATATTTGGTAAAATGAATTTACACGTTGCGTTAGCGCACGAGGATTTAGCTTATGCTCTTTACGTATTTGAGTATAGGTCTGGTGAATTTCCAGAAGCAAGGTAAATGATTCCGTTACTTATCACTCTTAACAATTTTAAAATAGTCATACAATTTTATTTCACTTTAAATGAACAGTGTTCACATTGAGAAAGCAATAGACATAATGTTAAACCTTTTACATGGGGATCATTTGTTGTTAGCAAGCGCAAAAAGAATAAATGCATTAATTCTCGAAGAAATAGCGTTAGATAATACATCGACGCAATTGTCGAAACAAAATCTACTATTCAAGGCTGAATGCCTTCATTTATCCGCTTTACAATCGGCAAAAGAGGCATTCGGCGAAAGAAATGTACAAACAGCAAAACATTATGGAAATTTGGGACGTGTGTATCAAAGCATGAGGAAATGTAAGGTACATATTCCACGTAAATGTACTTAATTGAACGTTTATGACATTACTACCATATTTTTGTCGTTAATTTTAGGAAGCGGAAGCAATGCATCTTAAAGCTATACGTATTAAAGAAGAATTATTAGGACCAGATGATCACGAAGTTGGATTGAGTATAGGACACTTAGCTTCGTTATATAATTACCACATGAACCGATACAGAGACGCTGAGAAACTTTATTATAGGAGTATCGAAATTAGTATGTGCACTGCGTTATATAATTTTTTCATACTTAGTCATTCGTTCTAATTAACTTTTATCATATCAGGTTTAAAATTGTTCGGTAAAAGCTATAGTGGCCTAGAATATGATTATCATGGACTTTTAAACGTTTACACAAAACTGAACGAATACCCCAAGGTTCTAAAATATGCAACAATATTAAATAATTGGAAAATGTTAAGAGATAAACACTTGGAATCGGAAGAACCAACGATTGATCCTAAAAGACGGCCACAACCAATCAAAGAAATAATCGAAACATTCTTTTCTATGTAATATAGCTGTATATTAATGTTTAATAATCACTGTCTCGCCGATTGACATTTAATTGATTCCAACTTTGTTGGAGTAACTCGGGCCAAAGTATGAATGAAATCACGAGTTACGTTATATGACCCAGGATACCGTGAATCATATATTTGGGGCAGTATCGTTAAGATTCTTCAAACATAGTCACATGAACTTCGTGTTTCTTCTTTGTACCTCACCATTTTGTACGTATTAACTACATTTACGACTAGTTTTAGCAAAAAAAATCGAGAATGTTTAGAGCTGAATGTTTTTGCGTCGAGATCAATTGTCAGCAGCATTTAGAACATGTTTATCATTATAAGATTTACACACATTTCAGATGACTTACAAGATATTAGACAAAAATTCTCAGATACTACTTGGTTTATCGGATAACTATAACTGTAATTATTTTTGTAAAATCTAATTGTATTTTTTATTCACAAATTTTGTGAAATCAAATATGTGATATGTGATGTACTGTTACTTTTTATTGATATTTTGTTCCTATACAAACATTGTAATAAATGACGAATCTAGATAAATTTTTTGGATTTCAGAATAATAAATTAAAAAAATTAATATAACAGGAATATATGTACAGATTTGTGCTTTTAAAATAAACGTAAAAATGAATTCTTTTTTCTCCCTAAACACCTTGCCGTCCGCATAAATTTGCTAGTCATTTTAACCAATAACCGGCAATTTTTAGTAAAAAATTTCAAATTCGTAAACTTTACGTAAATGGTCGATTTGCGCTTCACCAACGTGATGACGTGTGACACTAACATTTAGTCTGCATTTGATATATTAGGATGTGAAAGTATTAATACAGAAAAACAAAGCTAGTAACCTGACGAATGGCAATGAATTAAATGTATAACATAATTCTATGCGAAGACTTATTTTAATAATGTCAATAACAAGATAGATAAATATTCACAAATTTTTGAATAACTCACATACATTCAAAAGCTTTAATCTTTTAAATTACAATAAACATTAAGTAGTACATAATTTGTATTTACACGATATTTATTTTATCACTCCAGTTGTCAGGTAATAGGAATCATATCTAGCCCCGGTGAACTAATATCATCTCTATATCTTCCTAAAAGTTGTTAAAACAGAATGTCTTAACCAAATCAATGATATTGTAAAGTACAACCCTTGATATTCTAAAATTCACAGGCATATTAAATTACCAAATTGATATTGCACATCTTATTGGACTGATTTTCTTTAGAATATTTAGTCAGGTGTATGTGGTGGTTCTTGGCTAAAATATGGTGCTGTATCTTGTACCAATAACGTATGGCAAACATCACAGACTCTGGATGGTCTTTGTTTCGGTCCACTTTTCACAATATGTGAAAGGCAAGACTGACAAAATATATGGCCACAATGGCGGCAATGCACCTATAACAAGAGATTTTTATTAGCATACACAGGCTTTAGGTATTTACAAATTTACAGGCTTTAGATATGGGTTTAGGTATTTACAAATATTACCTTCTTCTTTGTAACCGTGAATGTAGTATGACAACTAGGACATTCTTCTATGTCCTCTTCATGTTGCCATCGTACTTCGCTACCAGCTTGCCTAATTCTTTCTAGTTGTACCTATAATCCATGACGATGTAAATATCTTTTATCCATTAAGATTGTTCATTTTTACTCTTTATTGTACCTGTAAAGATTGTGACAACCTAACAAAGTCTTTCTGCACTGCTTCACTAGTATCTAGCTCTTGTTGAAGACTGGTAACTCTTTGTCGTAATTCAGCCACTTTTAACTCGGCTTGTTTGTTTTCTTTTAAAACAGCATCTAATTGTTTTTCTAATCGTTCCAGCTTCTCTTCCCTCTCGGCAAGGGATCGATGATCTCGTACATATTTATCTAACTGCGTTCTATAGAATATTGTTATTGAAATTACGAAGAACTTATAATTATAAAAAATTAGGATATTAAAAAATTAAGTAGTATTACCTTAAACCACTAATTTCATTTTTTAATACCAATATTTCTTGTTCCTTTACTCTACTTTCCTGTTCCATTTGTTCATGAAGCAAGGTCACTTCGTATCGTAGTGTCTCTTCTTTCTCTTGCGCGACTTCTTGAGCAACTTTAGCTGTGATCAAATCTTCTCGCATTTTTAAAAGGCTAACGTGCAATTCCTCGACATTGTTCGGCATATTAATACTCTCACTCTGTAGTTGCTGGGAATGCTTGCTATGTTTACCAACCAAGTTTTCATTTTCCTTTTGCAGTCTGCAAAGATTCGACTAGATTTTCAATAAAATTTTGTCAGGAATGTCACGATAAAAGACATTACTTTATCTACGTTGAAAATCGGGAAGAACAATGAGATAAAAGTAACAGTATTATTAAAAATGTTCTTACGCGATAAGGTGTCTTTGTACTTCTTCTCGACCACGTGTTAATTTCACAAGTTCGTCATTTACGCTTCTCTGAACTTGTTCAAAAGTTTTTTTCGCTTCGGTTAAAGTCTGCTGCAACGTTTGCGAGGTAACAGTAAGTTCTGCCACTTTGATTTTATGCTCCTCTTTCTTTTCGTTCCATTTTTCTTCCATTTCTTTTCTAAATTCTACTTCCTTAGCTAAATCTTCTTTCTGTACTTGTAACATTCGTTCAGAATCTAATTGCTGCTTCTCTAATTCTTTAGCAGCTGCCTGCATCTTAACTAATTGTGCTTCGTAATTTGCACACATATCACATACTGACTCAGAGGAACCAGGTTCCTGCTGTTTTTTCTGCAACTGTATCTCTTTACATTTCTGGAGTTCGTCATCCGTCGCTCTTAATTTTTCCTTTAAGGCTTTAATCTCTTCCTCGAGCGGCACTACCAGCGAGCGTAAAACTTCCGCATCTTCCTGTGCCTATAAAGCAACAATTTCTAATATTTGCATTATGTGAAGTTGAGTAAAAAGAAAAAGAAAAAACAAGTGACAAAATAAACATCTTATAATGATATCATTCAAATGATTTATGAACACTTTCCGGAATGCAGTGCCATAAAAACTCATTGCAGAAAAGTTCAAAAACCATACATTTTTATGCTTACGTACATATCTTTTTACCTTCCTCATGCTTTCCTCAAGATTATCAGGGCCTAAAGATAGAGCATCTGCACCTAGTTGGGAAACTACTTTTCGAGCTATTGTTTTCGTTACTGTGGAGAGTGATATCTGTGGACCATCTATAGGTGGATCTCGTGGTAATTGTGACTTTATCAATGCATTCTCCTCTTGTAATTTGGAGAGAGTAATTTTTAATTTAGCCAATTCTGTATCCAGCTGCTTGCGCGAACAAGAAGATTCCTCCATTGTTTCATGTATAACCCTCTGTAAAGATGCTATTTCTTCTTGTGCCTTTCTCTTCTCAATAAGTATATCATTTTGAATTTTCAAGTCTGCTACAACCAATTGGCTCTTTGCTTCGTCCAATTCATTTTTCAACTTAGCATTCTCCTTTTGCAAACATGTGTTATCTTGCAATCTTCTTTTCAATTCCTCTGCAAATGAAATACTTACACTATTTAACGTACAATTTATTGTTGTTGTCATCATTAAGCTTATTAACATCAACTAGATTTACCTTCTTTTTGAAGAAACAGTTCTTTCATCTTGGCTCTTTGAACATTGAATTCCTCCCGCATTTTCACGGTCTCTGACTCCAATCTATTTACTTTTTCTTGCAAATCCTCTAAATTGCAACAAACATTTTGTTGGTAAAATTTTTATACAAAAAACAAAATTATACTAATAAATATGAACAAGAATACTAATTTTGTACTACACATATGTGTTTATAATAAATGTCTTGTAAATATTATATGCATTTTCAAATTAGTTTCAAATGTTACCAATATAATCATAATATGTGCCTCATTATACTGCTAATAATATCTCAAAATGTTTTATATAACGCATACAATATACACATAAAAGATTTTTGTGGTGTATCGAAATAAATGTTGAAATAGTTTGATATGTCACTAGTAGACATCATTAAATGCAAATCACAGGGAAGTATTTTTATGAATGCACTATCGTGTCTATGTATACTAAAGCAGTAAATATGTTGTAAATTTTATACATGTTTTCAAATTAGTTTCAAAGATTATCAATATAATCATGACAGTTTTGTTCCGTCATAGTGCTAATGATGTTTCCAAATATTTTACATAATACATACAATATATACATAAATGTTTTCTATGTTAAATGTTCAAACACTTTGATGAATCACTGTAAATATCATTAAATATGAATCAAAGCAAGATATTTTTGTGAAAGTGCTGTTGTATCGAACGTACCACTTTCGTTCATGTTGATCGCATTATCCTGTGTATGGTTTTCCATCGTTCGGTGATTTCGCTTGACAAAACCGAATTTTGTTGGGGTGGGTCACTGTCGTTCGTACAAGATTGAAAAGTGTATCGTTAAATGCTCCTCGACCGAATCTTTCGGTGACATTATGACACACGTGCCGACACCAGCTTTTAGGTTTCACCGACATTCATTCTATCGGGATGGCCAGAATCGAAATGACGCATCAACCACGTAAAACCAATGTTTTGTCAAATGAAACAGAAAAATCAACCTCAACGATTTAGCGGTCTACTAAGCGGTGTATTATCAGCACTTCCTCATCAATCCGTATCGATATTTTAAACGGTATGGACTCGATAATCGAACGTACAGAATCGATTATCTAAAAATTTCGTTCAACTCTGCCTATTTTAAAAATGAACGGCGTCACCTTAATGAACAGTACCAAAGTGTAATTTGCCGTAAATCAATAATATTTTCGATCATTACACATTGACATAGCAGTACATCAACGGCAAAGATTTGTTTAAATTATATAACGTAAGAAGATATTGCATTTTACGTTATCTAAAATTTAATCCAATAATGCATTCAATAAATATAAATATTTTTTACTTTTATATATGTTAATTTTTTAAAGTATTTATGTCGTTACATTGTTCTTTTTTCTGTAAATTATTTGTATGTCATTCTTAAATATATTTGAGGAAGATGAAATATAAAACTTGCTTCTTATTTATAATTTTTTGAAATCAATTTCTTGCATTTTTACATATTGCTCTTAAGATTTTATTATATATATAGTAAGGTTAATAAAATCCAATATCTCTACACAATTTTATAAGATTAAACATAGATTCTGTTAAAAATTACATTTTAAACTACAATAAGTCCGCCTACATAATGTCGGAGATAAGAATTTTCTTCAGTATAAGAATTTGTATATTTTTTATTTGCAAGCGTATTTTGGGGTGTTATTTTTTCAATAAGCATTGTATTTTACTTTCATTGCCTTTTTTCAAATTATAGTAATTTTTTGATTGCGTTATAATAATCGCGTATTCTAATAAAACTAAAATTTTCAGATTACCAAAGTTAAACATTCTCATATCAATGCGAAGAAGAAGACTTTGTTGTTGGCCATGAGTCACGAAACGCAATTCGTGTGTGGGTGAGTGTGTAACTCACACGGAGGAAAAACATTTCCCACCACTAACCATCACTAGGTATATATCCCCTCTCCTTTATAAAGGAGAAGGCACGATGACATTGTTTGCAGTTCATGGAATTGATAAATCTGTATCAGTAAGTTTTACGAATTCAATTAAAAAAGTAAATTATATCATGAAAATTGAAACAGAATAAATATTCCCTAGCATGACGAGCTGTTTTATAAGTTCATCCGAAAAATTCAATTTCAAGGTAACGAATGTCGCCATCCATTCATTTATTGACGTTTCGTAATTTTCACAATGGAGCAAGGAAAAAGCTGAAATATACATTTCTAGATAGAAGAGAAAACGCAGAACGTTAGCCTTGAAGTCACTTTCAATTACAGGTCAAACGATTTTTTTAGAGAATTGCCTATTGCAGTTGGTATTGAGAGTCAAGATTGAGTCCTACTGCAGTCAAATTGCACAAAATGGAGGTGTCAACAACTGATTAATTTCTGAAATTATTCAAAATTTGTGTATACCAAAAAAATATGACCATTATACCGATAGATCGTTGAATTTTTGATAGGTAAGATCGCCATTGCGTCTTCTATCAATTTGCGCAGTTAACTGATCATAAAATTACATTGAATGTACACATTCTTTTATTCTTTTCTCAACACATCATTGTACGATAACGTGTTATATTTATATATCGAGTTATTTATATGTTACATTTGTAATAGTTTACAATTTGCCGTTTTATTCGTGGTGTACACTGTAGTTATTGTATTTTTCATTCCACTAAATTGTAGCGGCCCATGGCCGTAGAGAAAGTTCCAGGGTTGAAGCCCATGTGTTGGCCACATGACCTGCGAAACGACGTCCGAGGACAGGTCATTGTAAAAGAATAAATCCTGGGACTTACTAAAAGACCCATGGACCTTCGAAAGGAAAATTTATTGTTCTATTGTCTACGGGTCTTTCCATCCCCACCTCGGAAGAAAACTCTCTCCCCCGAGGACCTCGGCACCCTATAGAAAGGGAACCGAGGAAAAGTTCGGGGTAGTCGATCTTAGTCCATCGTAGTCGGTTGCCAATAGCAGTGCACGTATATAGTATTCAGTGTATAGTCATCGTTTGAGCTCCACGCGCGTGCATCTGATACGACGCACAATCAGTATCGAAGTAAACGTTATTAAAGTTCTACGTCGGGGTAATTTGATAATATCACCCAAAACGTTCTTATCATCTCAAAATATTGATCTTAAACCAATCTTGATCATTTTTAATTTTTAATAATAACAAGTATTTGCAATATTGTAGGACTAACATTGTTGAATCGCATCATGAGTACATTTTGGAAAGAACAAAAATTGGAAGCAACTGGACCTGCTATCATGAAAAGCCTCGATGTCTTATGTATTTGTGACAGAGATATATACCATTCCGCCCATGATTCCGTAGATATAAAACAAATATATATGAAATGTCATTGCAATCAACCCAGAAGTTTTTTACTGATAGATGGGCAAGAATACCTCAGAGTTAACAGTGCGGAACACTTCATAGAACAATTAAATTGCAGTAAAGATCTTGAAGTAAAAGTAGTGTCGATTTTTGGAAACACCGGTGATGGCAAGAGTCACACATTGAATCAAACATTCTTCGAAGGAAAGGAAGTATTTCAGACTTCGGATGATCAAAGTTCATGTACATTAGGGGTTTGGGCCGCATTTGATCCAGTTCTTAATGTGATATGTTTGGACACAGAAGGCTTGTTAGGTATTATATTTATACAATATTTATATATGCACAGTGTATGATAAAAGTTAATTTTGCACATAATGGATTTTGTTATCCTTACTTTCTAGGAATTACTTTTCATGAGAATGAAAGGACAAGGCTATTACTTAAAGTCCTTGCTGTATCTGACATTGTTGTATATAGAACACAATCCGACAAACTGAATAGAGATTTATTTACATTTCTTGGTACTGCTTCAAGAGCATACAGCCATTATTTTCAAACTGCCTTGCGAGCAATAGGACAGAGAAAAGGAGTTCAAGGCTCTTTGAGTACCCTGGGACCAAGCATTATAGTATTACATGAGACTAAATACACCAAACCTCTGATCAACAGTACATATTGCCACATTCTCAGATTAACAGTAATTTCAAAATTAGAGTTTATCCGCAACACAAAACAAAACGATTAAAGCATTTATTCCATAACAAATATATATATATATATATATATATATTCTTTTTCTGTGGCAGATGATATAGAAAACGCAGAAGACACTCTTCGAATACGGTTTGCTCAAATGAAGCTCGAAGTAGAAGCATTTAGTTCCATCAAATACGTTGGTATACAAACTGCAAATTTCACGACTGATTATCAACTTTTGCAGACTGCTATTAAGAAAGAATTGTCTAATAATACTGTGCGGTCTGCTAGAAAGCCGTATTTAGTTTATAATACATTAAAAATTTTAAACGAGAAATTTTCTGAAGAAATTGGGAATTTTTCTATTTTGTTTCCCGATCAATATTTCGCTTGTCCTACTAAATGTTTTAGCTGTGGATCTAGGTGCAACAATAACATGGGACATCTTTCAGAAGGAAAACCTCATAGTAGCAATAACAGGTCTGTCTTATATGTAAATATCATTTGCAATTTTATGTGTATGTATTAAGAGAAATACTACTGATGTACATTCTATTAGGTGTCGATATCAGCATCAATATGAAAACATAGTATATATATGTAAAAAATGTTATACTAATGGAAATGAAGTACAAGTTATGAAACGAATTCAAAATCAAAATGATAATAGTTGGTATGGATTCGTTAAATATGCATGGTCAGGAGATGTGATAGAATGTCCAAATTGTGGAGAAATATATCGGAGTCGTCAGTATTGGTATGGTAACAAAAGCCCTGAGGATTCTGTTATTCGTACAGAGATTATGCACGTGTGGAACATGGTATATAAATAACGAGAATTATTCATAAGTAATTCCAGCTTCATGTCCAATTTGTGTTTTTTTAAAGTATGAATTATTTTTTCCAGCCAAATAGTTCAGTTGCATCTCAAAACACAGCACAAAAAGTAATCGACAGTGTATCGTATCTTACTGAAGCTGTAACCAGTGTTTCGTTGCAACCGACAAAAGTTCTTTCGGCGTGGGTTGCAGATCAGGTAGCTCCGACTTATTGGAGACCTAATAATGAAATTAAAAACTGCCATAAGTGTAAAATGGCATTCGGCTTGTCTGATACGAAACACCATTGTCGAGCATGTGGTGAAGGTTTCTGCGATCAGTGTTCGTCTAAAACGAAGTGTGTCCCATCTAGAAATTGGCATACACCAGTGCGAGTCTGTGATATCTGTTATGATAAGGATGAACCTACTGAATTTTCAGAAGATGTTAACGCTAGGAAAGTAACTGAACAAGTGGTGTCTACTTTCAGTGCAGTTAGTTCTGTTTTGAACTATTCAAAAAGTAAAAAAAGATATATATATATATCCTCGAAAAAAGAATGATAAATATTTATATTAATGTTGGTACTTTTAATTTTTTCAGCGTTTATCAAGGATACAGTTCGACCGTCTTATTGGGTCCCCGACTCGGAAGTCGTCGATTGTTGTGTATGCCACCAAAAATTTTCCCTGTCTCTTACTTTACATCATTGTAGGGACTGTGGACGTGGAGTATGTCAAAATTGCTCGCAGCGTCGTAAACCCGTACCGCATAGGGGATGGGATAATCCAGTTCGGGTTTGCGATTTGTGCATGAAAATAGCCTAAGAAACATTGACGAAACATTGATAGAGTTACACGAAAGTTAGAGTTACGAAACATTAATCTGTTTGAAATATCGATCCATCTATGCAATATACGTTAATCAATTAAATACCTCAACGATGAAGATATATTTTTTCTCAGATTTTGTACAAGTTGCTTGCAATTCATAAACGTTTATGTAAATTTTACTTTACCTTTAGTATATTGAAATTCTTTGCCATTGTAAGAGTGGAAGAAAGAAGAAAAAAAAATCAATATTTTAATACAGTACTGTAAAAAAGCGTTTCCTATGAATTGTGCCATGAGTGTACCTGTCTCTTTTATAAAATGTGTTTTCAGAGAATGGCAGTAATATAATATTAGAAAGATAACCCTGTACGATAAATGAAAGAATCCATTACAAAAAATTATAATAATAGGATAGGTGGTCCAGTACAATGTAGCAGTACATACAGAAGCATAATGTAATAACGCAAGCGTCTTTGTTGACGAAATGAATTGAGATTGTTGTCCTTATTGCAGCATTGGGCTGCGACTGTTTTTAGATTCCAAAACAAGCATTTATCCTTTTATTATATGCCCCGTACCTGTTACAGTCTTTTATAATTTATAAATGAACATGCTTTCTAACGGCAATGTAACAAAAGACGAAATAAATTCTTTAGATTTAATTAAAATGTTTATTTTCACCATATCACTTCTAATTTATAATATGAAACAAACGCCATATTTGCGATGTATTTATGGTAGCAATGAAGATTATATTTTCGCGGGAAATTAATTAAATACGATTAATCGATGTTGAAGATGCGATATAAGATGTTTCGGTAACCACGTGATGACGTCAAAATATGGCGTCTCAATCAGCTGGGTGTTGTGTAGAGTGTGCTTGAGATGCCCGTCTTTAGAAAACCAACGAAGACTGCCGTCTGTCTACTCCGATACGTGAGTTTTTAAAAAACCTCGTAATGTTCAGTTTCTTGTGTTTATTCACCGCTCAACGAAATTTAAACGCGGTCCCATAATCGAATGGCAGATTAAAAACAGAAAGACGCAAAACGCTGTTTCATTTCTTAAATATTTTAATTTAGTTTCCGCCGTGGAATTTGAAGAAAATTCGGGAGTCACTGGGAACATTATGCAGAGTGATTATTAATTCAAGAAGTTTCGTGAAGAGCACTTGGTCCTGTTCAAATTTAACGACCTGAAAAATGACGCGTATGTAAAAATACATAAAATATGGTTAGCAGAGGAACTTTCTGAGCGCGTTTAAATCTCGTCTCCCTAATACGTATAACAATTTTTCTATTGTAATAGTAAACGCTTGAGGAGTGCATCATTTACGAAACGCGATGTTGATACCGTGTGCAACCAATGCCGTAGCCATTTTCATGTTTGCTCCAGTTTCGTAATCATTATCAACTCCATATTTGAATTCAACAAGTAACGCAGTGACATGTCTCGCTTGTTCTCGAATTTTTACTGTCACCTTCCGTTTCATCGATTCACCGACGATTTGTCTACCTTCGCCTCGTTTCTCTTTAATATTTTCCACTTCAAAACTATGATCAGGTGCGAGCTTGATATCTGAAAACGAATACGTCTGTGACAAAATCTGTTTATCGCGTACCACGTATCGACAGGCAAATTTTCTGTATCAAATTTTCTTCCATCAATTACACATAACATAAAAATACATATTTTAAGAAATCTTCTCAAAGTATCCTTTAATTAATCTTGGTATCCTGTTAACAAGAAGAAAAAGAAACATTTTGAGAAAAGGAGAAGGAGAGAGAGCGCCGAATAGACGCCATTTTTTTGAAAAATGATTTAAATGTATACTATCGTCGTAAAAAGTTCTGTGAAATGATATATGTTGAAAATGATAGAAAAACTATCGATAACTCGGTGGATAGTGCGACGAGTGTCTTAGGATTCTTTGGTTATGACAAAGTTTATTTTCGATTGCAATGTGTTCTTAATAGCGCGGCCATTTTGTCGCTTATTAGTGGATAAACAAATGACGATGTTGGTACTTTGGGTTCGAGGCTACAGGCGCGTCACATGCGCGGAAATTCAATTTCACTGCCTACGCATCCCTTCCGTAATTATAGTATTCCTATATGATACCAAAAATAGAAAACGAACCGACATTTATTTAAAACAAACCCTTTCTATACATTCTGTAGGGCTGTCATTTATATCTTCATCATTTCGTACATTTTTACCTAGAAAATCATGATTCGAAACGTTATACGTGTTCCGTGTATATGGTTTCGAAATTGGATTTTGTTTCGTGCAGATGCACGTGACTGGTATTTTCACACTACATGCTTGATACTACACAGTTATTCATTAACATAACAATATACAATGCTTTACGAATGTTTTTATTATAATTTGTAGTTCCTGTAATAAATAGAAAGAAAAATTTATATTTCTTTTTGTACAAAAAATTCGTGATAGTTTTGTTTTCGATTAGAGATAAGATTGGTTTTTGCGACGCTTAATCGAGGAAATTTAATTTTTACCTCATAACTATCAATAGTGCCATGCAAACGTCTCTGGTCAAATAGATTTTTCATTTTGAAGTACAAATACAATATTTAAAAAAGTGTTAAGGAGAATTATATAATTACGTGATAACGTTTATGTACTATATTATTTTCTTTCGCTTATCTTTATCTTTATACCCCAATATTATTTAAAATTCTTTTGGACATCGCTTTCTGAATATAAAGTGAAAAATTTATCTGGCCAATAATTTTTGCATACCATTGTATCTAGGAGCACGTTGCTAGGGTTACGGAGCTGTTGCTTAGTAACAGTATTCTTTTGCTTCGTTGCCGAAGCATCGACGCTTATCAATTCTTCCCCGCTTCACAAATTAAATATCCTTTCTCCCCTCCCCCAAAATATTAATAAGCTAATTACTTACAAAAAATATAAAAAAAATAATTTTGAAAAATGTAATGCATAGGTGTAAATAATAGCTCTCAAAGTAACTAATTCAGATATATAGATTTTTCTTTGAGAATTTCATGATTTGATTTTGTTTTACAGTGACGAAAAAAGCACTTGACCCAATATGCCACCAGATAGACCAGATGCATCAGGTGTGGAAACTGGCATAGGACTAAGTAGTACGAAAGTTTTCAATTTTGGAGAAACAGTATACACAATGAAAGAAAAAGAAAATGCAAGTGCTTTCGTTGAAACAAATTCAACTGATGAACTTTCCATGTCTGATAAGTCCATTGAGAAAAATAGTCAGTCGGATGATGATCTGACTTCCTTAAGCTGGCTTCATCAGCAGAATCTGTTGAAGGGTTTGGATATTTCAAACCCCACTAAAGACATGAAGAATGAGAATGTTTTGAATAACAATGTTTGTGATGATATGGCAGACTTTTCTGAAAACACCAATTCTGTATCCAGTTTGGATGAAGGCTATTGTCCAGGTAACTTTCAATATGTTTTAATTTTCAATTGATAATCGTAATAATATTAATGAAATATAATATTTTGTCCTTTTTTTGCATTTTCATAGCAGATAATAATAGCAAGATAAATAATACGACGCCGCATGGTAATAGTCAAAACTATCAACACTCGAATAAAAATAGTCAAAAATCAATGCAAATCTTTCAGGAGTCGGTAAAAAATCATTATAGTACCTCGCAAAACAATCAGACGAAGATATCATTGAACAACAATAATCTGCCAGTTTCAAATCGCAACAAACACCCAACTCATATACCATATGATCCTCACTTACATAGAAACAGTAAACCACCATATTCATTTTCTTGTTTAATTTTCATGGCTATTGAAGATAGTCCTGTAAAAGCTCTACCAGTCAAGGAAGTATATGCTTGGATTTTGGATCACTTTCCATATTTTAGGAATGCTCCAACTGGATGGAAAAATTCTGTTAGACATAATCTAAGCCTAAATAAGTGCTTTCGTAAAGTAGAGAAAGCACCGGTGAGTGTTACATTATAATATGCACGAAAAAAGATCGTTTCCCTTCTAGAAGCAAAAACTTAGAAAAATTTTTTCTCTTTTAGAATTTGGGCAAAGGTTCGCTATGGATGGTAGACGCCCAGTATCGACCAAACCTGATACAAGCATTATCTCGCGCTCCTTTTCCTCCACCGACTGCTCAAACTTTGTCTTCCCCTGAAAAACCACAAAAAAAGAACACTAGTACACGTCTACCTGATCCTATCCTCTTCCCATATCTCTCTAAAAGACTGGCATCGAGCAACATTACCGACAACACAGACACTGAAGTAGATAGCGATGTAGACGCAGCTGCAGCTGCTATGCTTTCTTTTAAACACGGACCTATTATTTTAAATCACAATAAAGGCAAAGTATCTGATAAAGAAGATATCAACTTATTAAACAAACATAATATTTTATAACTTATTCAATCTTATTGCAGATCGTAAGCGGAAAGTACCGGAATCCGAGGTTCTGGTTCCTGTAATTACCAGGAGCTCCAGCGAAGATCATACTTACAGTTGTATTACCTCAGTCAAGCAAGAAAGGTAATCATTAACAGTTTTTGTTTATTAAAATAATATTATAAATGATAAATTGCGCATGTTTATTTTTCAAGTAAATATCCAAGAAAGGAAACAAATCCCGATTTCGATGAGCAACGGAAGATAGCGGAAGGCGCGGACGCGCTTTTAAATTTAGCAGGTGTTACCACACCACTCAATCACAATAGGACACATCACGTACAAGGTATTAACTCGACGCCAAAGTCCGATGGTACGTCAAAGCTGAAAAAACGTTCAGCTTCGAATGATTATTCGAACACACCTGAAAAAAGACGTAAGCATTGGCCAAAGTGGAGTGAAGGGAAGCGGTATTTAAAGCAAATTATATAAGAATACTTTGGTTGTATGTACGTATATAGCATCACAAGTTTCCTATTTTTCTTTTCCATATTCAAACGTGAACTTTTCAAAATTCTATCTTCGGTATGGATTTCGAAACTGTGGATTTAAAATCTTGCGTTGCTGATAATTAATCTGTTGTCTTTTGGATAAGATTAACGTTAATGAAGATTTGCATCGAAGTTATCGCCATTGTTAGGCATCTAAGATGAAAAAGTGAGAAGAACACGATATGTTCTGTCATATTAGAAGAAAAACATCTATCAGGTGCATTTCTATTTAAAAAAAAAAAAAGTGTTGAGGCAAAGGGAGGGGAGTAAAAGAAAAGAAAACAAATTGGCGGTCGCTCAGGGTTCAGAACTCGCTATATGCCAAAATGAATTCAGTAGCACTAAGCAACAAGCAATAATAGAAGAATAGTGTTAAAAGAAAGAAAAAAATTACTTCCTCAACGTTAAGGCATGAATACAACTATAAGTGGTTCATGGAACATCAATGACAAAAAAGGAGAACAATATCGCGTACTAAAACTAAAATAACGATAAACTTTTTAGACCTGTTGTGACAATTATACATATTAATTCATAGAGAGTTTAATTAATGATAATAGAGTTCTATATTAGGTTTTTTGTAGATATGTATAGAAATATAATTGATATCTATTCGATAGAGAAATTGATAATATATTTAAAAAAAGATTATATATATACACACACACATATATATATATATATATATACATATATATATATATATATGCGCACGCGTGCGTACTCACACATATATACAAACATACACCCACTCACTCTCACGCACATATATACATGTACACATGTTCATGCTCACATGCTCATTAATTTACACTCAAAATACATCTGGTCATGTACGCAGCTGTATGTGTGCAAAATGTGTGCCGCGGAAAACTATATAGCAAAAAGAACTCTAAAAAAAGAAGTCAAGGTACACTGAATACGGATTTGAAATGAATAATATTATCATTTCATGCCTTTTTCTACTCTCTTTGTGGCTTTTGAGATGATTTTGAACAGTGCTGTATATATGTAGATCCTGTAATGTATGCAGAGACCAGTTTTAAAAAAAATTTGTTAAGGAATCGATATGTATACGTATATACATATGTATATATATGTATATGTATATATGTATATATATATATAGCGTCGAATTGATAAATATCGATTGGAAGAAATGTATAAAGGTATAAACCAAGAGTGTCATCCTATTTTTATAAAAAAATGAAATAAAAAACAAATATATGTATAATATTAAGGAATCTTGTGAATACCTGATAAATAATGAAGAAGTATATGGCGGTGAAAGAAAAATATTGAATATGGATAAACTGGTCTTGTATACATTGATATCGTAGTTCTGTATAGAGAGAACGTATATTTTTACAGGGCACTGCCCGCGTGATAAAAGCTCTTCCTAATAATTGCTAAAAAAAGAATATGAAAGAAATACAGTTCATTAGCTTAAACCATTTATTAATTATATCTTGCGTGACACTACAAACACAGCATGGTAGCGCAGCCTGAGTATTTCCATATGTTTGTATGCCATATATAATGTAAAGCCTTCGTAAAAATGGTAAAATATGAAACGCATAGTCTTGATTTTAAATAATAAAAAAGACGAGACAATAGCAAGCAAAAACAAGCTCATAGAGAAATAAATGATCTTGGTTACCAATTAAAAAGTGGCGAAATTTTGTTCTATCGAAGACGTTTCTAGTCTTACGATTATACTATGTAAAAATGGAATGATACCAGTTATTAGGTTGATAATGATATTTAAGCGTCATAATTGCGATTAACAGTAAATTGTTATTTGTAATATATGTTACTGCTGGCTCAGATACATTTCAGACGCGAGACTCATTATTATCGCTTCTTAAGAAGGTGCAATTTAGTTTAACTTATTAACGATATATTGTTTATTGTCTAACGTTTACTGTCTAGTTACTCTCCAAGTCGATGGGGTAATGATAATAATTTTCAGTCAGTAAAGTTATTGCACTTAAAAATATTACGCTAAACTGTTAGATGTTATTAATGTAAAGAACAGACAGCGGTGGGAAGGAAACTAATTAATTTTAGCATCACAAAAGCGGATTAAAGATACTATAAACTTAAAAAGAAAAAACAAATGGGCAAATATCGAATATAAGGCGCGCTGCCAAAACGTTTTGTGTGATTGTAGCTGGTCAGCTACAAAGGGGAAAAAATCCACGATTAAAAAAAGGGTGCAAGGAAGAATGCCATGTTTATACGCAATCGGGGAAACCAGTTTTGAGAGAGATATTATATATATTTCACGTGAATGTAAAATTGTTCTATTTAGCACATACGTATTTATACACTACACATATTACATAAATATATGTAATATAAATGCTTTTAAATTAATTATGCTTTAAAAGCAAAAAGCAGGTACGTGATCGGTAGCGGGGACCTTTTTTCGAAATTTGTATATGCACGAGCAAGACCAGTTTTTTGTAGACTTTACGTTTTCTATTGTCTGTGATATTATTGCAAAAGTGGACACACCTTGTTGTTGTTGTTGTTAATTATATTTTGGTGAAACAGAAGTTTTAGAGCTTTATAAGTTTTATTCTTTAGGGGGAGAGGGGAAGAGGGGAAAAGAGAAAGAGAGGAAGTAAGAAAAGAAAGAGTAAGAGTGTTCTTGACACATCTCTGATATTATTAATTGGCATTCTTGCTGACACCTAAACATTCTGATCTAGATAGACGAAACTGGCATCTTTAAAATTAGCAATATATTATAGATATTCTATTATATATATATTGAAAGTAATATCACAAGTTTTCACACTATTTGTTGAAATTTTTAGTCCTAGCTTTTGTTTGCTATGACTGAAGATCTGTTCTTCCATGTAGTTTATTCTAATCTAAATAAATTAGGGGGTGGGATGCCATTTATAATAATAGTAACGTAGCTAATCGATCACCGTTACAAATTAGAATAATCGATTAGCAAAGTGAACATAAAGCAATATATACCAGTTGATCCTGACATTGGACAGAATACTCGTTAGTCAGCCGGTCCGTACAAAATAAAAACGATATACCTTCATCTACTATGATACAAGTCAATGTTACATCGCGCGTTTGTATAGAGAGAAATAAGTATAAAAAAATTGTAAAACTCTAATCGTACAAGATGGTTAACTTATAGAGTATTTTTTATGAAGTATTATTGTAGCGTATATTGCGATATAAAATCATCATTTTCGTGAGCCAGCGTAATTCTTAAAGGCATACAAATTATTATTTAACGTAACATTAAAATCGTCGTTGTTTCCTATATCAAATGGGGCCGGCTGATATACATAAAATTAAAACACCATCGACAACACCGAAAAATAAAAAAAGAGAAAAAGGAAAAGAAACATCAAATATAAGAAGCAAATCATAATAATTCATTGCATCGCGACTAGCCACGGACAATCAAAATGTAACATGGTGTTTAATTTGCTTCCATTACATGACATCGTGCCAAACGCAGAAATCATTTATTTTGAGGAACAGATGTTTATTTATATGTATATCTACAAGTTGTATATTGTATGAATTTTGTTGGCGTAATATGTAATATTATTATTATTATTATTATTATTATTATTATTATTATTATTATTATTATTATTATTATTATTATTATTATTATTAATATTAATATTAATATTAATATAATTATTACTCATTTTAAAACGGAATACATTGTAAAATGTTTGTTAAGTTTTTGACCTTGCTTACATAATTGAGTAAAGAATATTTAATATTTTAGATTGTAACCAAAACAGACCTTTATTAATGAAAAGAATGTGAAAAAATCAAACGTGCGCAGAATTGGTTATTTAAATTTGCATCCTTTTCAATGACATGCTACGACATGCAGCTACCTATATATATTATATATATATATAATCATGAAAGAAATTATTAATCGTAAAAAAAGTGTAAGAAAGAAGAAGACAAAGATCAATTGTTGTTAATTAATGTTACTTTGAATACAATATATTAATATATATTTCTATATTTCAACTCTTAAATTATTTACGTCTATCATATTAGTAATTAATAATTCTTTCTGCTGATTAATAGTTTTTATTTATAAAATCGTAGTTGGCGCGTTTCGAATTTCGAAGGTGGCGCTATGTACAGAAGCGTACCGCGCAGGATATCTGAACCTACAGTGAAAAATTCCTCCTTCATGATCACCCTGAAGTTAACCAAATCATATATAAACTCATAATATAAACTAAATTTTAACTTTTTCTTTACATTCGATCATTTTTAGGATGTTTAATTTTTGATAAAACGCATCCACTTTATTGTCAGATTTGAAATGGCAATGAGTCACGTGATAGCACCGCAATGTACCAACCTGCACGTGAGTACCTAGATCGAAGCACACGTCGTTACTATACTTTATCGCGGTTCAAAACCTGTCGGTCTGCATTCCAGTGTGCTGGTGGACGCCAAGCGTCGTGTTCTATAGGAGGTCGAACTTGGTGAGCTTAGTAGCGACCGCTCTGAAAAAAATGAAGTGATTTATCGGTGAAAATTATTAACACGGACACCTCGTTTTCCTCCGACGAGGAAAATTGTGATCGATTTAGCGAAAAATCAAAAGGATCTGATAAACGTATAGATCGTACGGCTGGATCGAAGGAAAAAGGGTGAGTGTGCCAAGCATGATTATTACTTTTGTTTTCTTCTTTTTCCGTCGCTGATCTTTTGCCTTTCTTTTATTTCTTTTGCTCGCGTTTCTGATTCACCATCCCGTAAAACCATAAATATAATGGGACCTGTATATACTGTTCGTCATGGAAAACTTTTGTCGCGATGTCGCTGTGAGAGATCACCTGCCGGAAGGGGTGAGCCACCAGTATTTTTCGTGAAATTTGAATGCAGTAGATAATGCAGTGAATAAATCGGATACATGGTATTATTAATAATACCAATTGTTAGAACTATTGACAATTCGGAAAACGCTCATTCAGATGATACCGCGCTACTTAATGCGCCTGCGTTGTAATAAGATACATATGCATTATTGTTGAGTGAGATATAGCAAGATCGTAAAGTCGGAGATATTCAAGTTTATACGTATTAAAAACCGAGATAATAATTTGAGACATATAAAAAAAAAGATAAGGAGCTGAATACCTCGTTCAGAATCGTATGGTGTTAATTTTGAGTTTTCTTCCTTTGTAGTTTTGTGTATTTAAAAAGAATTATATGTATACAACCTGAGAAGAAGATTTTAGACGTATACAATTTGCTATTTTTCAGACAATACATGTATTATAAAAGAATTTGGTAGGTTGATTGAGTAATAACTTTTATGGTCAAAGTACTTCTATGAAATGCGTGGAATCATTATCGATGTCGCTAATATATATTAATACTTTAATTTACAATCTCATTGCATGTCTTCCAC